GCGACGCGTCGAACGAAACCGACGGTATGGCGTTTGACATGAAAATCTCGGTGAATGACGAGCGACGAGGTGATGATGGTCGTTATACCGATTCAGCCTGCGATATCACCACCGCGCGCGCTTGCCGCAGATAGACCTTTTGTTTTCACAATTAGCGCAATCTCACTAAATGTAAGCGGCAATAATATCCTATACATGCACGCATCATGGACCACGAGCTGTAGCTGTGGGGATAGGGATGGGATCAAACCCTACGCGAGCAAGCTCGTATAATAAACTGACATATGGCAATAGACTCGCACCCGTTCGTTGGGCAATAAATTACATTACTCGCGACGGCGTTAAAATCTACGACGGTGACTACATTCTCATTTGAAAGAGTTTAATTTAGATCTTTCGAACTTTCATCAACACATTGATTGAAATCACATCATGAAAACGTCGCAAAAGATTTTATTTCTAATCTTGATAATAAAATTAAAATACTTTTATTAATAATTAATAAAATCTTAAAATAAAGATTTCCGAATTCTTTTCTTTACATTTTCTGTAGTCAACGCAATTCAATTTGTCGAAGAAACAGGTCCGAAATCGCTGAATGAAAAAAAAAATCAAGATTCAACTATTTTTTGACCGCACATCGGATGTCTCGATGCAGAAAAAAAGATTTTTGATGTCAATGTGTTACACTACAGGATTAGACTAATATATAATCACTTTTTTTTTTAAAGATGATATTGCACTTCGCAAATTGCCTGTCGAGATTCGCGAGTTACTCGGAATCGCGGACACGTGAATGAGTCGAGGCCATCCCTCCGGACCGGAGGAGAAGACGGTAGTAGAGGACTCGGCGAGCCTTTCATCTCGCCGCTTTTGAGCGCGATGAGCGAACGGCGAACCGAGCGCGCCGCACGGTGGCACGCACGCTAATGCGGCCCTAAAAATATCGACGCGACAACAATGGCGACTGTATATGTATATACGTATAACCGGCTTTACGACGCGCACGGGACTCGCACAAATTTACATCCCGGCAACGATTCCCGCGCACATCCCGGATCCGTGCACTCTCGTCGAGACAACGACGGGGGAGACTCTCTCGAGTATCTGTCGTGTCGTAAGAGACTGAGATAAGAGAACAGCGTTCTCTCAACGAGACTCCCTTTCAAGTATATTCACATGACGAGTGGACGTATGTACCATCTTTCGATCCTTTTATCGGTCCTGATCTTAGACCGGCGAATCATCCTTTCATTTCCGGAGAAATTTTATTAAACTTAATTTCTCGTACGTACTTTTTTATTTCACTATATACTAATTTCCGTTAAAATTTTTAACTTTGCGAACTGTAAAGGGCGGTGATTGGCTTTTACAATCGCGAAGAGTGAAGTTACGCAAAATGGTTCGTTGAACGCCAATAATGCCTCTAATTCGAGAATGTTTATCGTTAAAAGGCTTTGTATAACTGCTCATATCGGTTCACGCTATTTACACGACTCTCTCGTTACAGCTGGTGCGGCACCATCAGGATGCCCGTAAAACCGCGTTTCAATAAACTCTTCCCCGCTGCATGCACGCACTGATACGCTAATTTCCGGATATTCGCCGATAATTGGCTTAATCGCGCGCCACGTCGCGCGTGTTGAATTAATCGCACATCCCGTATTGCGGCTGTATCCGATCTAGGACCATAAATTCGCTCGAGAATTCATGAAAATTAGGGCATCTCGGATTGGCCGATCCGCAAAGGCTGCCCGTAAGACTTTCGGCAGATATTTATGACGTTAAGCTCAATAACGCCGTAAATAAATCTTCTACGAGAATTCGTCATAATCATTTTTACTGCAGTTATAATAAAAAGTATTCGTCACGGCATCATAATGTTAAAGGCAATAAAACGAAAAAATATAACCACCTTTTCTTAAGATTGCATTCAAATTATCTCTTTTCTATTTCAATCATTTTTACCTGAATAAAAGACTCGAAATATCTGTTGCAATGTTTCTCTTCAATAGGATTATACAATTTTTTAACCATTTTCTTAACCGACAATTTTCTTTTCCTTTTGAATAACATAGAAATTACGATAGATATATTCTGGTAATAAATATATATCTATAACAATTACTTATTTCGACTAGTCTTTTGAGAAGAAAGAGATAAAAAATCAAATTGCATCGATCGAGTTTAATCTTTTTAAAAAGCTAAAACCTAAATAAATAATAATAAAGAAGTGATCATTCATAGGAAATAAAAGAATTAATAATAAATACATTAATAAAGAAATAATTGTAATAACATAATATAGAATCAATACCTCGCCCCGCCTCATTCTTATTTCTTTTTGTTATTCTCTTGTTATCGTTTTTTGGAGAATAGAAAACGGCCCGTTGATATCCCATTTGATATCTCGTCGTGATTTCGTCGCCGCTGTGATTTGCGGGCCGCGCGGAACGTATGGCAGATCGGGGACGACTATGGATTTCGCATAAAGTAATGCTACATCGCGCATGCGAGTAAATTAGTCGCTTAATCAAACCATTTAATCAGCGGCATGATCGTGACCGCATCTGGCCGAGCTGCTCGCGCCAATTATCTCTTGTCCCTCCGACCTCCTCATCCCTCTCCCTCCTCCTTTACGCGCGCAATCGCGTACACTGACGTACCGAGTAAGGGGAAAATCTGAACGCGAGATTTGGGGGCAGAACGTTGCAGAATTGATTAAATCTATTGATACACATTGGTGATCAAGCGAGTTGGGATATTTCAGTTATTACTTTGGACATTTTTTTTAATAAAAAAAAGAAAAACGTAAAAATTTAAAATTTACAAGCGTACACAAAGAGAATTTTTTTTAAATTTACCCTGAAAATCATGTTAATTGTGGGACAATATAGTATTTAGGCAAATTTTACTGTGCACTACAAGTATTTTACTACAGTAAAATTTGCCTAAATACCATATTATTGTTCCACAATTGACATGATTTTCAGGATAAATTTAAAAAAAAATTCTCTCCGTGTAAATGAAATATAAAGGAAAAAAAATTAATAACGTACTTAATTTTAAGATATTTTTTAAGGTTTTGCTTGACAGTATGTATTATTGTTGTAAATTTACCGATACATGCAAGGTAAGCGCGGTACATTTTTCAAATTATTCTTTATTGCGTAACAATTCTCTCTTGGTGATCATCCTAAAAAAAAAGATTTCGATTGTAAAAATGCTCTAGTTTCATGAAGACCATCGCATTTTACATAGACTGAATATAACCGTAAAACAGTACTCATTGCAGAGAATAAAAACGATCAATGAACGGCCGACATTATTAGCCCATATCACAAAGAGAAAAAACCATATATGGAAGTCTTTATACAGTTTGCACTTTTTAACGTTAAATTAAATTAAATGAACAATTTTTTGATTCTTTGTATTATTGAGAAAAAGAGAAAAGGACAATGATAAAGTGGAGTGACGGAATCTAAGTAATGATGGCAAAAGCTGTCTATATAGAAGTAACAAAAAAGTAGACACGACGTAAGGAAAGTGTAACGGAAAGTTATGTATACGAAATTTTTTTCAAAGAATGAAGTAATATTTTATCTAAAGTCCATCATTACTGCTTCACCTTGAAATTTTGAACTTTATGCATCTATACAATATTTTGAAAAGTAAGGGTCTGCAGGGTAATAATTTTGAGTGACATTTATGACGTAACGGGAATGACTCAATAATTTCTTACTAAGTTTTTCTAGTTTTTATTTTAAATCGTAAATTTCTATTGAACAGTCGTGCATAAAACATTAATGCTATGTGTGTTATGATGACTGATAATATACAAATATTATAATATACTTTTATAATGTGAGCTAAACGATTAAATAAAATTAAAGATGCAATATTGACAAAAAATAATTATCGTAACTTAGGACTTATAAAAAACTAAACGAACATAACTATAGCGTCTCTGAAAATCTTTTTATATTATTTTATAGTTCTAACTATTTTATACTTCTAACTTTCTGTTATAAACTCTCATATTATGCGAATATGTACAATATATGTATAATATACATTTAATTTCACTTAAAATCTGGAAAACTGTTGGGAAAACCATGCATGCATTTCTTGTTTGTTTGGCACCACGGAGACCACGGAGTCGAAAATGTTGATATAATTATTCTATTATCCTCTTAGTGACCTTATAACAGCGTGTTCTTTAATAAGATTTACGACGGTTACGATACTCATTGCCAGGCTCCTAGTTGGCTGAAGAGATTATATTTTCGAAAAACCCAAATATATCTCATTATTACAGAAAATGAATGTAACTATTCACCAATTCAAACAACGTACAATCGACATATTCTTCCTTTTTTATAATTTTTTAATAATTTCGTAAATGTCGCTATTTCTTATCAGTATTGCCTATCAATTCTGTTTAATATTTTTCAAATATTTATTATTTAATATTTATCAAATTCATCTTATGCAAAATTCGACGGGATCCTAAATTTTAAATTAACTCATATGTCCTTTTGTTAATGCCGCCGACGAATTGCTCTAAGATTTTTTTCACAGAGTATATATTGTTATTCTCGCATATATCTTTCTTTTACGTAAAAGAACACGTTGCATACACCATGTCATTAAAAATCATAAAACCATCAAAAGTTAACACGTTTATTGTACTTAATTTTTATACGGAAACTAATCGCTGAGGAGGTTTTCAAAGAAATCTCTCACCATAAAATCCCGAAAATTGTTGCAGCCTAAGTTGTAAGAAAAGCATGCAGGTCCGATCCTGCCGCCTGCCATCAGGCTGCTTCGCTATATGCAGCTATATGCCTGTGATGTTACGTAACAACGAGCTACCGGCTCCACCTCTCATTGGAGGGGACGTTAGAAAGGGCGGATTTTCCCCACTCAGTGAGCGAACACTGGAGGTGGATGCCGTCGATGTTATGTATATATAGTCAGTATTACTGTAGTGTAGTATCAGTAGTATCTGTAGCTCCCATAGTCGAAGCACATCACATGGCTTCGTGGTGCTAAACGGACTCCATATAAAAATAGAGAAAGACAAGTTTCGTGCATGTTGTGATCAGTGACTTATCTTTTTTTTATTTTTTTTTCTTTACCGACTATACCTTTCTCAGAGAAAAATCGCGAAGTGTCATTGCATTCCAAGTGGTGCAGTACAGGATTTCAGATAAGAGAAAATAAAGCACGTGTAAGTTATTATCTTCAATTTCCATATAGAATTCGCAATGTAATTTTCATGTTGATGAGATCGCGAGTCGATTATGCCTTGACTGAGATTTTCTTTCTTAAGTCTCGCCGATTTTGCTCGATATTCTCTTTGATATTTTCCGGAACATGTTTAGAACGCACGGTGAATAATTTCTAATGTTTATTAGATTAGCCTTGCGAGTGACTTGTTTTGTCGAGAACACGAGTTTGAAATAACAAGACCCACATACATATATCGATAATATCGCATCTTTTCTTTTCGTTAATTGTCAGTATCTTTTGAAGGATATAGGTACAGCGGGGTAATTTGAACAGTGGAGTAATTTCGATAACAGTAAGCATTTGCAAGAATTTCAGAAAAATAAGAGATTTTAAGATACATTTCATTAGATCAGACATTGATCTATAATGAAATGTATCTTAAAATCTTATTTTTTTGAAAATCTTGCAAATGCTTACTGTTATCCAAATTACCCCATTATTCAAATAACTGCTTCTTATAATTCTCGCAGCTGCTACAATTTTTGATAAGCAGTTTGAATAAATGCGCAATCGATTTATTCAGAAATTTATTTGGCGAGATAATATAAAATAAAGTGTCATTTTGACGCGAGATTCGCATGCAACTTGCTAAATTTAGGAAATCACGAGATCTAAGAAAATAATTGAAAATATTAAATCATACACTGTTAAATCTATATAGTGTCAAATTTATCTTACTTAAGTTGCCACTACTCCTATTTAATAAATCGTTTTTTTTTTAACTAAAACAATATAGTTATTTTTAAATAAAACAATGAAATTTAACCCAAATTTGGGTTAAATTTGAACTATTTTAAATTATTTAACTCCATTGTTTTAGCAAAAAATAACCATTTATTAAGTAGGAGCAGTGGCGACTTAATTAGATTTAACAGTGTATTCAACTTAATTTTTTTCCGGAAGTGTATAGGTACACGATCGCAAAAGCGTCGGAACGTTCACGTTTGCTAATAAAATATTATATTAAAATTTTCAAATTGTGCAGTAAATAACACATTGTGTAAATAATAATAATGTACAATAATATTATAGTCTACTTATATCGCGTAGTAGCATCTGTCTTCATGTCAATAACATTTTCAAGCTCCGCGATTGTTGAGCTGTTAAACGAACATTTTTGAAATTAGAAACTGTGATCAATTACAGACGGCGGTCTACGTTTCACGTTTACTTGCGTTAACAAAACTAGATAAAAATGATCGTGTTCGAATTTGACTCATTGTCGCATGCGATCGTATACAACTTGTAAAATATTGATCGCTAATTAACACGCGTATAGATGACGATAGAATTTCTTTATTCATTAACAAATGCGTGATTTATATCCGGATCTTGATGCCGTTTTCGCCACTCCAAGCCGATGTAGCGATCTAGCGTAGCATAACTTTATATAACGCTATTTTAACAGATAAACGCCATTTTAACAGATAAACGGCATTATTGCTTCTTGTGGCACTGTCGCGGCACGCTGCAGCTTGGAATGGGGAAAGCAGTACCGAGATCTGGACTCTGGTGATTAATAGTCTATTGAAAATTGAAATTGAAATTTTAAATTCTCGCGCTAGCCTCGAATTCTTTTTAATAAAGAAATTTTAAATTCTTAATTCTTTGCACTTTCATTTTACATTTGAAGCCAGCATTGTGCATTTGTGTTTTCTTTTTTCGAAATTTGTGCTTTACTAATTATGAAATTCCGATTACTTTACTTGAAGATTTCAATGCAACGTATTTCGCTATCAAGTGATATTAAAATATGCGGACATGCAAATATTTTCGCGATCGACCGTGTACGTTATGTACGACCGTAATGCACGTAGTGATATGGCATGGCAAAGTAATTAATATAGGCATTTTCTCAATTGTTATAAAGTGACGAGATGAGAAATCATTTTGACGAGGACACCAGCCCGGACAACAATACGGAGGAGGACAACATTGTTGTTGATCAAATGAACACGCCGCGCAATTCGCACGCCGACATTGGTGGTGAGTCCTACTGACAATTTTCAGTGTTCCGCAAGTCCATCATTATAGAGCATCGTTGACGCGTGTAACACCATTACCGCTGGCATCATTAATCGTGCGCTTCTTGACTGGATCGACCGTCAAATTAATTGTTGTATATCGAGGATAATATATAGCGATATATTAAACCGATTATATAAATTAAAAGCTTTTCATTTTTTTTTTCTATAACACTGGACTTACGGGATACTTGTCGTATGTATGAGAAAAAGACAGCTATATTAACACTTAAAATATTAATATATTTATTTTAATAATTATTAATGTCTATTGTTCGTAATAAATTCACGCATTATATTCGCTGTAAATATCGAGGAAGCTAGATTCGCTTTTACCCAGGTCTTCTTTAAATGGTAAATATTGATTAATCAGGATTTCGAAAAAAATTTACGGATAGTTATATATCAATCAAATATACGAATATACTAATAAAACGTACAGTAATTGTTTTTGCTTCGAGTGAAGATATACTGAGAATTTTTGAAAGTTTTTCGTCTGTTGAAATGCGCATCGAAGTCCTGACCCTTTTAATATATTGACACTTTATAAATGTTACTACCTGAGCTACCGACATAAAATTAGTTATGTCATAAGCATTTTCCATAGGTGAAATCTATTCGAAAGTTTGCTGACTTCCAAAATAACTTGTAAAATTTATGAGGGATAATAATCGAACTACCTGAAAGTAGGGTATATAATAATCGACCTACCTGAAACTATGTACCTAAGACACTAAACTAAAAAATATAAACTTTTGTTTCAAGCATTTTCTTTTCATTTCGAGTATCTAAAATTGCGTGTATGAAAACTGTCTTTTCCATTTGAAATTTTAGAAGTCTCGCATCATATCTAATTCAAAAATGGAAGGCATTAATAACTAATTATTTAATTAGATCGAAATATTTTTAATAAAACCTCCAAACGGTAGAAAGAATCGCAGTAGAAGTATCGATTCGAGAAAACGCAACTAATTCTGATTAATTATTATCATAGTCGCATCTTCCTTTTGTGTATTAAAAACGCGAGAATCAACGCCGAAAAATGATGGCTTAAATGATTATTTTCCTTTATTATCACATTGTCTTCTGCCTCATTCTCGAAATATACATATGACGATTTGCATTATATTATCGTGACGCAATTTTATCTTTGTCCGCAAACTGTTAACCGGAAAAATCGTGCAAAGTGAATTGTACAGTCGCAGGGAGAAGCCGAAAAAAGATCGACCGGAAGTAACATGAATAACTTCTTACGTAATTCTTGCTAGTTCCTACGCTTACCTGCTGCCAGTTGCTTTTCACAGAAAATACACGACCCTTGACCTGTTTCTCGATAAGTTGACCACATACTGCACTTTATTCTTCTTCGCGGGAAATTTGCGGTAGCTTTGTACAATATAAGTATTTTCCGAAGCTATTCCGAAATAACTTGCCTGAGCGTGAAAATAGGGATTGATTGACTGCGACTTTACACATTGACTCTCTTTTGTTAGAGAATGCTAACTAGAAATATCCCTTTTACATCCTTATAATCGATCGAAAATAACATGAGACGACAATATGACAAACAGACTGTTTGCGACTTTTGTAGCCTTGTTTCTTGCCAAATAAGCATGTGGTGTAAGAAAAGCGGACATCTGCACGGTTTTACAATTTCGGCTAACTTTAATTATACAGAGTTTCTCGCTAAATGTTGCCTATTTGAAAACTAAAAATATATTTAGATTAGATTGAACACAAGGTTGATCAAGAAAAATTTTGCATTCAAATTTCGAGTTTATCGCCAAAGGGAACGAAATTGTCCGTCGGTATGCGAATTAACTGCGAATCTTATAATGCAAAAACTTCATAAACGCTTCAAAATTTGATCTCTTTTTCTTATATTTCTCTGAAAGGATTTGCTAACGTGAGAAAGATTATAATGTTCCACATTATTTCATGTAGATCCACAACCGTCGACCTCGCGTCTCAATCAACATCAGCATCAGCAACCGCCTCAACAACAGTCTCAGCAGCAACAGCAGCAGACGCCAATCCCCCCCATAGATCCTAACGTCAGGAGATACAGGACTGCCTTTACGAGAGAACAACTAAATCGACTGGAAAGAGAATTTACCAGAGAGAATTACGTGAGCCGGCCAAGAAGATGCGAGTTGGCAACGCAGCTTAATTTGCCAGAATCTACGATTAAGGTTTGAATAAAAAATAAAACAAATATATTTTTCTAAGAATTCCTCTAAAGAGACGTACTCTCTCAAAAAGTTCTCTCAAATCACGCATTAACTCTCTATAACTCTATAACTCGCTGTTTAATTTTCAAGTTACATACTTATATATCTATGTTTTTTAAATAAAATCGTGTATTGATTTGTTTCTATTTTAGAAATAAAATACAAATTACAGGAAATAGAGGCCAATAAAACGAGCGAACAAAGATGTTGCAATATAATTATATATATAATTTAATAATATTAAAGCGAGAATTTTCGACTCTAATTGTAAGTTTTCTTCAGCCGCAAATAGAAAATTTAATATGTAATAAATTACATTAATCTTAGTCATAACGTTTCTTGTCTAATGTGAGTTTATAGTGTTCATTATTTAAAAATTTAAAAATTAATCTAAAAATTAAAATTTTTAATATATTGGACACCATAAAATCATACCAGACAAGAAACGTCGTTACATATTGTCCGACTTGTAAGATTAATATAATTGATTAAATATTGTATTTTGTATTTGCAGGGCTGAAGAAAACTTAATAAAATCGAATGAACGTCCCACTTTAATATTATTAAATTAAATTATATAATTATATTGCAACATCTGTGTTTACTCGTTTTATTGGCCTTTATTTCCTTTAGTTTCTATTTTATATTTTTTAAGTTTTGTTTCATTTTGTTACTATGACCGATTATAAGTTTTACTATTGTACCTTTTTTGTCATAATGTTAAAAATCTATTTACAGTTATTTTTTCGATACGTTCAAAGTATTGAGCCGATCTACAATTTCTTGCTTACAATCAAAACTATAGTGAATGAAGATCCTACAAAAGTCTATTATAATGAAATGCCTCCTCATCTCCGTCGCTTTTTACTCACTTTTACCCGCTTATACCCTGGGGGTGGTATATCGGGTAGGCGCCGACATTGGCACCGATTATTTTGTAGGATATACCGGCGGCCATTTTAAAATTGTAAAATACCAAGATGTAAAAGGTTTAGTGTTTCTAAAATAAAATAGATATTCAAAATATATCTCTGTGTTTAATTTTGAATGCAAACTGTTTTCCATCTTCTATACTATAGATAAGACTACATTACATGTGTGTATGTGCAAGTGTTTTTATCTCATTGCGAAAATTTAAAAATTACAAATCACATTTTTTCATAATAACATATTAAAAAATTGAAAATTAACTGTTAATTTTCCAAGACCATTTGCTATGCATCATGTAATTTTTTCTAATATGAAAAAAATTGAGTTATAGAGAGTTAAAGATTTCGTAGTTACAATAATTCTCCTTCGTCTCGTCAATGTGTTATATTTATCTATCAAAAACGTTGAAATAATTGTGCAAGGTCCGTGCAAAATCTTATACAATCTTATTGAACGTTTGCACTTGGCCCAGTTTTTAGCCTCTGTCAAATATCAAAATGGAATAAAAAAATGTAACGCTCAACTTCACTTCGATCTTTTCTATTAGATAAACGCTAGATCGAATGTTGCGATCGAGTCGCGAGTTGATCTTGAATGAGCAAACATTTATTCGCACAAGATTTGATAAACAGTGACTTCACCTGTAGCTGGTGCAATAATATTTTCCATTAACGCTTTCGTGTTTGATTGAAGAATTCGCGACGGCATTATTAAGAAAATCCTTCGATCATTTAACGATTATTAATAACACGTACGCTTATACGAATAAAAAGTACTTTATACGTTTTCTTTCTTGTATAGATAAAATTTTTTGCGATATTACTTTCTCCTTCTGTCTCTTTTTACTGGAATTATTTAATTAATATTATTCCGCGTATCCCGATTTAATTTCTCACGGGTATCTCACGCCGTCTCCGCGAAGACAGGGGCCCCCCTAAAGTCGAGCGGCTTAATAGAAGCAATTAGTGGCGTTTTTGTTCACGCGGGCCGCCAAGAGCTGCCGGTGGTTGTTTCTTGCCGTGGCCAGCTGCGGCCATATTTGATCGGCGATTATAGCCTCGAGAGCGATTCAACGGCCGCGATTCTCGGCCTTTGATCCTTCTCTCGCGTGTCCCGCGGCAGTGCCGTAACGTTCGATCCCACCGAGATCTCGTCGTGGTAGATCAGAACGAGGACTCCTCCCTTATGTCATATAAATATATTAACGTTTTCGGGGACCGACAATTTAGTCACGGCCCTGATCAAGAGGTGACCGGTCGGACGAAAGTGTTAAACGGCTCAATTAGCGACTGCCTCGCGGCTCACCTCGGACTTTAATGGATCTCTTAATTTCTCGTCTCGCGGCAGCTCGCACTCGCCTCGGTTGGCGGTCGTAAAACGGCGGTGGATAACGAAGAGAAGGGGAACGGCGGAGAGGTGTTAAACGACGGTAAACGTCCCGCACGAATTACCGGTATAATCGTTCGCCGCCTCCGAGAATTCCCTACATTCGTGAATCTATATGTATCCAAGAGCGCTTATCTAGAAATATACGCATCTACCGAACGCGTCAATGTTTTCGTTCTGTAACAGTAGCAGTTTTCATATCCTAATATCTGTTATTAAATGGAAGGAAAAGACCCACTGCTCGATCGGTTCACACATTAAGTCGAATAAAAAACTAAACAGACACAGGGGAGCAGAGTCGATTATTTCTCGACTAATATGAATTATTGAGGGAGATTTTTATAGCTGTCGAGATATAGAGATCGATCGTTTATACTGATGTTAACGAACTTATCTGTTACAAAAATTCTGCTCGGTTCCTTCCTTTATTTATCACATTATAATTATTATAAATTGTTTATACGCGCTCTAACATCAGATGCATATGTTTATAAATAGTTTTGTAACGTCTTGATTATCTAATTAGAGTCTTAACTTAAAAAAAAAAATTAATCGTAATTATAATCTTCTTTTGTTGTAGGTATGGTTTCAAAACCGAAGGATGAAGGATAAGAGGCAGCGGATGTCCCTGTCGTGGCCCTTCCACGTCGCGTATTCGGATCCAGCGCTAGCGGCGACGCTGCTCGCGGCTGCTTCGGCTGGCACGCTTCCGCACATGAGCTACCCGCCGATCCCTACGTCGAGTCTACCGGCGACGGCACACTTGGCCCCCTCGGCGACGACGTACTCGAGCGCGGCCGCGAGCGCGGTTGCTTATTACGGCCGTTATGGTTATCCAATGAATTCGGTCACCGCGCTCCACCGGCCACACGTACGTCCCATTAACGCGCCGTATCCGCCACCCCCGCATCTGCTGCACTCGCACGGGTCAGTGCCGTCACTGCACATCCTGGGTATGCCGAACATCGCCGCCCCCGCCTTTCCTCCCGTAAGCAATCCTCCGCCATCCTCCAGTACCATTACGTACCGGCCGACGTTACTCGAGGAACTTAGCCCGGTCAACTCCGACACCTCCAGCGAGTGCGATTGCGGCGCGGTCCCCGGCAATCAGATGACGCGTTTACAGTCACCGTCGCATCACTCGACCCAGCAGCTGCCGCATCCGCATTCTCATCATTCGCATCACGCGCATCGCGTGAACGCGTCCATCACGCCAACGTTGGTGCCGCAGCGAGACAGACTCGGCAGTGGCGAGCAGGTGAGATTGAACGGTATGAGTGTGCCGGTCGTCACAGTACTGCCGTTTGAAAACAACGCGAGCACCCCGTACAATCATGTGGCGATCCCTTCAACATCGGGGATATCGTCCTCATCACCGCCCTCGTCGTTGAGCAAGCCTGAGCAGGAGCAAGAGCAGCAACAGCACCTTCAGCAGCCGCAACAGCAGCAGCAGCAGCAGTCGCCGCCGCAGCCACCACAACCCAAATTGTTTCAGCCGTACAAGAACGACACGCCAGATGATAAGCCGGATCAAAACGGTAGGATGTAAAATAAAACAATGATAAGATATGATCGCATCTTATCATATGCGGCTGTGGTTGTGACTATGATTGCTATAATCGGCGATGCAGACTGCAATCGTATGTGTACGTATCTGTATCTATATACATATATCTATATACACTCGCGCGCGCGCAAACACACACACACACACACACACACACATAACACACGCTGTCCCCAATTATACATCCCGTTTGTTACGTTGTATATTACACAGCCATTCTTCATGCGTTTGTTACGCACGTGATGGAGAGATGTACATTTGTATGTATATACACATGTAAGATAGTAATTTTTTTATTCACGAATATATTTTATGTAGGCTTTTTAATAATAGTTTAAAATTTTTTAATAATTAAGGACAATGGGAATCGGAATAATTGGGGAAAATGCGTGTGCTTGATAAAATCGTGATATGTTCAGCGGGTTCTGTTCTAAGATTCACGCTGACGCGTAAGCTTCAAGAGTCTCTTAGATCTTACTATGCGTACATCTCCACGATCCGGATTTGCACGCCTGCACAATCAAATTTTCACATCGCTTCTTGAAGTATCATGATTTGACGTAATATATAGCGTGTACATACATGACATACACCTATTAATTAATCTTCTGTAAGGATAAATTAATCCATTTGAAGATATACATTTATAAATTTATTACAATGAGATGAATGTGTGTGTTAATGATAGTTTGTGTATATGCATGTGAGAAAAACATGTGCCAGATCAAAAATTTATTTGTAAATAAATGTTATAAAAAAAATTTCGACTTAAAAAAAATGTAAAAGAGATGAAAAAGAGAAATCGCAGAAAGCAAAGTGAAAAGAGAACAAATAAATATTATGTATAAATATGTATTTTAATATTTATGATATAATGAGCTATTGAGCAGAATTTGGTTGAAAACATTTCTTGTTCAGGTGAACATATGAATAAGTTTATAATACATGTTTTTATACATTTCTTTATATTTATTTGTAATATACATACACGTGCGGACGTGCGTGAATATATGTATATGTATGTACAATAAATATAAAGATTCTCATTATCCATCTACCAATTTCTCTTCGAATATATGCTTAATATATTTGTACATATATCTATATATAATATTTCTTTCTCTTTTTTCCATTTGTTTTTTGTTATTAGCATTATTAGTAAGTAGGATTTTCTCTTTTACATGTGTATATAGATTGTTTTTAATCTTTTTTTTTCGTATTTTGTGATATTTTTAATTAAGATTTTTTCTTTCACATGTATATATAGATTTGTTTTTCAATTCTCTTTTCGTATTTCGTAATTTAGGATTTTTCTCTTTTACGCGTATACATAAAATTATTTTTTAATCTTTTTTCGTATTTCTTAATTAACAATAAGTAGAATTTTTCTCTTTTACATATATGTATATATAGAGTTGTCTTTCAATTTTTTTTCGTATTTCCTAATATTTTAAGGAGTTCGTAATATCTGCGAATCTTGACTCAGCGACTAGACGTCGAAAAATAAACGAGCAAAAACATACCTTAGGCTCCTAGACGGTCGATATTATGGCACAATATTTGATATTGCGCAATAATATTGATCGTCTGAAAATTATAAAGGTTTGTTTTTTAAATTGTCTAAAGGAGGCATCAACAATATTGTATAATATATAATTGTACAATAATATTGATCGCGTCTAGGAGCCGTTTTAGTATTATTTTTTTAATACAACTTTATGCTTTTACGTATATTATTCTATTACGTATATTAATCTATTATTCAAACTATTTGTAAACGATTATACTAAAGTTGACTGATCTGGTACTTATTCTTTTTGAGAGACGATGAGAGAGATGAGCTTCCGTTGCACCCCCTTCAAATAGCGTGCAATCTTTTGTTTCATTACAACTTCTATGCTTTGCCATAAAATATGTAATAGTGTTGTCACTAATATCTTATTATCGCGCAACGAAATCTTCCCTAAGGGAATAAATAATTCAAACTCTTCTGGGAGTTTAAGAATGTGGCAAAATAAAACAGAAGTGTTTCTATAATATATTCTAAAATAAGTTAATTCCTTAACTTTATTTGTTTACTTTTATATGCAATGCGGAGCGACCAGAACAGCATATGTTCATGTAAAAAAAAACCGTTATTATAATAGCGAAGAGTTTTTAACAAATCATCAATGTAATACGAATGTCGTTATGTAGTTGAATAAAGATTAAGACATACGAGAATAATTACGTGCATTTTAATAGAACACGACGCCTACATTCCGTATTTACCAGATTCCATTAATTAAAAATCCCCAAAATTGGCAGTCTACTTATTCTGTGCAATAGCTTGATATAATAGATAAGATCGAAATAAAAGCTGAATAAAGCATAATGGAATACAGCTCCATAATTACGTACGTAAATATAACATATAATTTTTATTTGCTATTTTCGATTTCAAATAAATAACGCGTAAAAATATCTGATTTGATAAACAGCTATCGTTTATGAATTATTAATATGCATAATTTACTTTGGTTCTCTCGTTTTGAGCCATTTTGCACGAAATATTTCCAGTGAACAATAAAATATTTTATTTATCGTAAATCGCGATTTATTAATATGCTTAAAATTTATCTAATATATTCAAACGATACTTAATAAAATCTAAAATTTTTTGATATTTCTTAATTATAGAGTGATTTCGCGGACGATTTGTCAGGAATCTTCACCGATTGTATTTAACATAATAATTATTTTTCGGCAATTAAATGAAAATATTAAATGTAATTCGAATTTTAATATCATTGAATAAATATACGAAACGAATATTTTATGTATGTATATGCGAACATGCACGCTTGTAAGAAATTTCTTATACAGGGTGAAAAAAAGCTTAAAGTTTGCTCAATTGATTTGTCAGTATATGCCAAAAACCACTTGGTAAAATCTAAATAACATTCTAATTCGTCTTTGCTTTCCCTTCGCGGTGCACAGCAATACATATATTCAAGGGATATTATCGAGATAATTAAATTCTTCGCTTTCCTTCCGTTAATCCTGCACGCTACCGAGGATCGTTTGCTAAAAATGCGACGGACTCGCCGTGTACGGGACAGTTGGCGTACAAAACGGGAGACTCCAGGACGCCATTTTGCTGACAATAAAATATCCCGGATGCCCGGGGGCTGCCTCTTATCTTTCCTATTATCGATAGCTGGCCGTGGACCAATATGGCTACGGTAGCGGTTGCCATGGCTACGTTCAGTATCTCGCTTCGGGACGGGGGCCCCATCATCCGCGCTATTATCGCGCTTCGCCGTAAATAAGGAGGAGGCACCCTCCCTCATCTCCGGAGGAACGATTCCGAAGCACCCACGCTCTCTCTCTCCTTTTCTCTTGTGACTGTACAAAAGGAGACGAGACGCGATTTCGTCTCGCGTCCTCACCCGGGATGATATCGCATGGGTTATTTCAGATTGAGCGAACGCTGATCGCGAAAAGCTATACGTTTTTGAAAGCACAAACGTTTTATTTTAGCGAAAATTTATATCGACAATAACGACATGCATTGATCAGCTTGCATAAAAGTGCAAACATTTTAAAACACGTACGATTATATGAAAACGCGACATGGCATCGTGCGCGCGTCAAATAAAGAAGAATAAAAGAGCGTGACACGATATCATAAAGGCATCATGCATGGGCGCGATTCTTTTGTATAGTCGGTGCGAAAAGAAGTTAGTACGGTTAGCGAATGCGAAATAAATGAATGGTTCTCATGAACAGCGAATGGCAAAAGCCCGACGCTGGTGGAAGGACCGAGGAGCGATGATATCACTGACGAGAGTCGCCGTATTGGCTGCCACCCAACGCAGGCAATTCGGTCGGTCGACGAACGATAAGCCCGCCATTGCGACCCCTCCGTCTTTCTTTCTCTTTCTCTCTATCTCTTTGTCCTTCTCGTTTATTATACAACTGCGAACGTACGCTCGAAGGACGGCCCCTTCGAATCATATATTGGGTAGCCGGGTACGTGGATTCATTCGAGATACGAAAGAGATAAGAAGACGCAGCGCCGCGTCGCGCGCTGTAAACGCTCGCACGTGGCTCGCGTCGCGCCACGTCGAATCGATGCATCTTGCGACCGGCCGACCACCCGGGGTCGGACCTCTTCTCGCGCCCTTGACACAATATTTTGGTATGCCCGAGAGATAATATGATGCCTATTTGATGAGATAGATAGGGATTTGAAATAGGGAAATTATCGCTTCACGCATTATAAGTGTGTGTGTGTGTGTGACCGTATCTTCTGAAAATGGGAAAAAGAATCCCTCTTTTATTCCGTCCTTGCCGAGTTCTCATTTTTCTGAGCATTTTGTTATTCAACGTGATAGAGAGCAAATGGAGCGTTCAATTACAGCTATTACAAACTATGATTTGCTATCCGTATAGAAATGATTCAAGAGCCAGTTAATTGTATTGTAAGGCCCGACTGCACGTTTGACTTTAAGCGAGATTTAACTTTGTTTTTAAAATTTTGAGAAAGAGTTTTAAGCGTCGCTTAAAATAATGTTGATATATAATCGGCCTGAAAGATTAAATTTCACTGGACAGAATTTTTCGCTGTAATCGATATTCATTTAATTAATGCATTGCATTGAACGCTTTGAAACGCTTCGAAATCGTTTCATTCTTTACTGTCAGGTACATTATTTTCTTATTCTTTTTCCAAATGAAAAGAAAAGAATGTTGGTTGAAAGAAAGAAGGTTCTGATCACTTACATGTGAGGTGTATTCCGTTTCATGCATGATGCGTATAATTTATCATTTTATCCTTGTTTCACATTCAGTGAACAACAAGAATAAAATGATACATTATGCGCATCATGCGTGAAACGGAACGCACGCCTGATTACAATTTGAATTGTTACGTCAACTGATGTTGATATAAAGCATTCTCGCAGCGCAGCTTTTCTCCTGAATTCTTATTCTTTGAACAAAAGATAAAAGAAGAAAATTCTTATTAAGGTATTCTAAATCATCAAAAGGTAGTCTGATTATAAATCGAATAAATTTTTTACGGATCTTTTTTTTGTCATCCTACATTCCGTTCGTTAGTGCAATTTTATCTAACAATAAGTCGCATTCTAACAGTATATATTGTTAGAATAAGGCATTCGAACTAACGGCAAGCAAAAGATCATTGTAGACTTGATGCTGTAAAATCGACTATCGATCTCGCTATTAAAGTACCATACGAATCAAACGCAAAATTTTGCGCGCGTCTGTATCCTCTTCGAAAATTAATTGAGAGAATAAAAAATAAAAAAATTTTGAAAATTTTTGTTAAAAAGTGAAAATTGATACAATTATATTGTGCAAACCGCTTATATTTATGAGATTGTTTGATTTACAACACATATTTTTCGAGAGAAATTTTTGAAAAAAAAAATTCAGCTCTTTGTCGGAAAACTTCAAGAGAAATGAGAAATGGATATTACTATCTCTTTCTGAAAATATCTCTTTCCCTTACCAAGTACTAAGTAAGGGCATACCGGATGTGTAAGAATTGCGTAAGAAAAACGATCGGAAGATTAAAGAGTAGAAAAGCTATGAAACAGCTCCTCTCGAAATTCTCAAAAGTAAGCGGGGTCAGCGTGACACGTTCAGAATGATAATTTATTTGACTCACCGAGGATTTACGAGATCCGATATTGGATAATGAATCAGGTCTCCCTTGATGGAATTAACTCACCTATAGCCTGGCCCTCTCTGTACAGCATACCCATACCCCAGTGTGACCTTTATTAGACCAAAGGAGGAAAGAAGGAAACTGCACGCGCGAAGCACGTCGGCTTGTTTTACGGGCGATGTGTTACATCTTTATAGGAGCCCATAGTCGCGGCTTTATTCCATGGCTTCCAGTCTTCATTCGCGAATAATTTCCCGGTGTGCGATAACCCTGATATAAGCTAATCCCTCCGTTAATCGTGAAAACTTTTTCGATCTTAAATATACCTTCCATATCGATTCTTATTCAGCACGAATCTGCGAGTTGCCTTTTTATTTAAAGCTTTTAAACAGTTTGACGTAACATATTTTCGCATGCGTCTGCAAAAATGATCG